ATGGTGACTGAAGTCAGGGGACAGTGTTGAGAAAAGAGAGACTTGACAGGCCTCTAGACCATGGCAGTTTCTTGGGAATACAATTCCTTTTGCTTTCACTCACGCACATGTTTTCAGCCTTCTTGAAAAGGGAGTCATATGTCCCAAGGTTCTGCTTGCTATCTTCAAAATAGAGCCTGCACCTTACCACTTCCGTGACTTTATCCATGCTGAGGGACCTGCTTTCTGACTTCTGAAATCTTCCCATCATTTCAGGCCTACATCCAACACCACAGCCCATGTTAATTCCTCTCTTAAGACCTTGCGGCTGTACTCCCTCCTCAGTGAGGAAGAGGATGGAGAATGTTGTAGAAGAGCTGTGGGTCAGACTGCCTGAGATCAAATTCCACTATAGCCCTTGTTGGCCAGGGGCCTTCAGACAACCAAAGAGAGCTTTTCAGACCTTAGTTAGTTTTGCCAGTATTTTAAAATACAGCAGTAGAGCAATACTCTCATGGGATTTTCAGAGGAATAAGTGAGATTATCTTTGCCTATAGTAAGAATTCAATCAATTTTAGCTTTAAATTATTTTAAAGGACTTTTGGGATCCCATGACCCTTTTATTATAATCCTAATAACATGCTCTGTTATTATGCTTCTACTCAGTTGTTTTTCTGGGCTAGACTTTCAGCATCTTGAGAACAAGGACCATAACCAATTTGCATAGTATTGCCTTCAGTGCCTTTGCATGGAATGGCTGTTAATAAAATGGGTCAAAAGAACTTATTATCGAAAACAATTTATACACATCATGTTAAAACAGTTACGACACAAAATGGTGAGGGATTTTATAAAGTCTAAAACCAAGACTTTTTTTTTTTTTTAATAGTAGGGTTAAAATAAAGGACTTTAGGAAGTATAGCAACACATATAGTCAGCAAAGATCTTGTATCTAAAATGCACATAAATGTCTACCAAAAAAATAGAAGCGTATAAAACATGGAGAATAGGATGAAATAGAAATTTTATAGAAAATAGGCTACAAATTGCAAATCAATGAAAAAAAAAGTTTTGTAATTAAGGAAATAATGTTAAAACCTTCAATAAAATGATATTTATGCTCACTAGATTGGTAAAAACGAAGATGTTTGATAATAACCACTGGTGGTAAGGATGTGGACCCTTGGGAATACATAGACACTTCTGGTGGAATAAAACTCGATACAACCATGTTGGGAAATGATTTGGTGCCAGTTTGTGAATTTGAACATTTGCATGCCTTATGGGCCAGCAATTCCACTTCTATTTATGTGCTTTAGAGAAACTCTTACTCATGAGCTCTAGGAGTTATGTATAAGAATGTTCATGGAAGGATTGATTATAAGAGCAAAAACCTGGAAACCACCTCAGTGTCCTTCAACAGGATAATATACAGTATAGACTGAATTGTGCCCACCCTCCCAAATACGTATGTTGAAAGCTTAAGCTTCAGTATGACTACATTTGGAGACAGGGCCTTCAAGGAAGTTCTTAAGGTTAAATGAGGTTATAAGGATGGGGCCCTAATCTCATAGGACTGGTGTCCCTATAAAAAAAGGAAGTGTATACACACACACACACACACACACACACACACACACAAGAAAGGCCACATGAAGACACAGTGAAAAGGCAGCTGTCTGCAAGCTAGAAAGGTCTTGCTAGAAAGATCTCGCTAGAAACCAACCCTGCTAGCACCTTGGTCTTGGGCTTCCAGCCTTCAGGACTGTGAGAAAATAAATTTCTGTTGTTGAAACCACACAATCTGTAGTATTTCGTTATGGCAACAAACTAATACAATGTATGAAACATTTGTGATATATACACACAATGGAGCATTATACAGCAATAAAAATGAATACACAACAGCTACATCCCACAAGGGCATGAATCTTAAAAAACATACTTACTGATAAAATTGGATCCTAAAAGATTATATTCAACACTATACCATTTTTATAAGGCTTAAAAATAAGAGATAATAGTGCAATATTTAAGGATATATGCATAGGGATTAAGACTTTAAAAAAAACAAGGGAATAATGAACATAAAATTCAGGACAGTGGGAAGACTGAAAAATAAGATGAAGAATGTAGAAACAATGAAACTGTTGATGTTCTAGTATTTAAGACAGAGAATGAGTTTAAAAATGTTTCTTTTATTGTTATGTTTTAAACTTGTTTATAGATAATATGATATTGTTTTAAGGGGCAAATATTACATAAAAGGAAAAAATAATTACTTTTGAAAAACTGCTTTTCTCTCATATGCAAGTACGTAGCCTTCAATTTTTTTTAAATTGCAATTACTTTCTTTTTCCTCTCCTTCACATTTTTGCCTTTTTCTTCTTCCCATATAACTTGATTCTTTATAAACTTTAAAATTAGGGACATAGTCAATTTCATTATATTTTTGTTATGAAAAATATCCCACTAATATAACAGGTGTATGAGAGTACAATATTCAGAATTGATTCCAGTATAAAATTAATTCTCAGTTACTTATAATATTTAATTTGTGTATGCAAAGTACCCTAGTCACCGAAAAGATAATTGACTTTGCTCTGAAGTCTCTCAGTCTACATATTAATTTCATCTCCTCTCTCAGACCGACATACTCACTGGAACTCATTGGTATTAGCTGTGTGAATTTAAACGAGTGGCAATATCAATAAGTTTGTCAAACATCATCATATCTGGTCTGTTGGGCAGAATTTGTTTATGTTATCCCAATTCTGTAGCTATCCCGCACTGAGCAACTGCCTCCCAGTACTGTGTGAATTCTTTCCTATTTTACAAGTCCATTCCCCACTGAAGGTTAAGTGTTACTGTAAACTCTGAGCTACGTTAAAACACTTACAGCAAAATCTCTAGCAGCTAAGGAAGCATATTTTCCATCTCTTATGGGTAATTTTTTTTTTAAAGAGTTTAAATCCTAAAAATCTGTATTAGTGGCCTGCTCCATTCTCCGTGCAGTTGTGGGACCACAGCACATACACAGAAGAGGCACAGTAACTATTTTTAAGGAATTTTCAATGTGATCACATATTGATAAGACACAGTGATGATGTTAGGGTGGGTTGTGATCCCCCCCCCACTAAAATATTGCAGTTTTGTGACATTTTATTGCCACTTGTCTTATCCTAAAATCTTTAAAACGAACTATCAGTCTTAGCAAATGGAATGTCTTCAACAACCAGACACATGCGGCTCTAATCAAAAAGTTCGATGCAAGGCATCATCCAAAAAAGCAGGGTGGGCTTTTGAATTATTATTATTTTTTAATCTTTTTCTTCAGGAAATATGTTAAATGTGAAGCATTTCAACATTAATAACAGAGTGACACCCATCAATACCAACAGCCTGGAGAGTTTGTTGATTGAAAAATAAGTTCCTTCTTACAAATACCAGCCCATTTCATTGGCTGGCCATTTCTGTGCAAAAAACACTGAACGAAATGATGACTGTTTATATCACCAGAAGGGTCATAAGAAAAGGTTTAATTCTTTAAGTTGCATCCAAAACCGAAGAAGCACTCATTTCTCTTTGAAAATAGAGTTTCCTCTCTCCTCTCATTTAGTGAAGTTCATTTTCCTTCAGATGCTAAATTTGTACATCCCAAGGCACGAATGTAAAAGCAGACTTCCTTGTTCCCTAATTATCTTTGGCGGAATTAGTATCATCAAAAGAAAATCCCAACGAAATCAACTTGCACAAGCAGAAGAACAGGAACTAGCGTGTCATTGAAAAGGACACCTGTTGTGGCCCACTCACAGGAGCACAGGGATGCAGGGACTGAAGCCAGCAGCCTCTGCTAGAGAGGTCCCCAGGGTAGGCCTGGGAGATAGGTGAGATGATTCCAGGTCTGATTGGCCTAGTGCTTGTGTCATCGTCAGGAGCCTTAGAGTCTGAGGAGTGACAAGTGGACTTTACTATTTATTTTACCTGTGCTCAAAGATCCAACACTTTCATTCTCAGGTTTAAAGGCCTTGATGTCCACAATTAGGACTAAGCTTCTCGCAAATGCAAATGTGCATAAATTGCACTGTGGGACACTGGCTTATGAGCATTTGGGGTTGATACTTCCCTGAAAGTTGAACACCGTCACTTTGGGGGTTCCCTCACTCATGCCATTGGTATACTAGGGTAATGCATTTCCATTTATGTTTTACTTTTGTGGGGAGGACTGGAATCCATAAATATAAATGGGAGGACTGCTGGCCATTATGGGCGCTGTAAATTCAACCCACAGGAAGTTCTGATAAAATGTACACTGGCTAGATCCCTAGCTCTTATGGCTTACATTTATCTAAAACTCTCTGTTGAATTACAACCTGCTAATGTCTATTTTCTCATGCGTTATCTATCTGTAATGATAACAAAATCATGCTAATCCATTCTGGGTTTTTTTTGGTTTTTTTTTTTTTTTTTTTTTTTTTTTGGTGACACTGAAGCTGAATAGCCCCTCCAGCCAGCCTCTTACATCAAAGTGCTTCTCTCCTATCTCTCGTGCCTCTTAAGAACAAAACTGTATTCCACTCTTCAGCATACTCTAATCTTTCCATTTCTATTACAATACTTCATTAATTTGACTACCTCATTGCTTTGTCGCTTTGAAGAAGGGCAGAAGTGGAAAACACTTGAATTCACAGTAACCTCTGGCAGGGAGGGTCTGTTCTTCCAAATATTTCAGCTATTTCCTCCCTGCTGGCTTACTATCATGTCTGAGTTCCTGTGAGGACCAGATATGAATCGTGCCCTTCCACCTTAGGCATCGTAAATATCTTTCCGATAATAGATAATTCACCTGATCTCATGCGTTCCTGTGCACTTAAGAGATTCTCAGTGTGAAGAGAAAAATGCATTTTGATTTGAGGCATTCCTAGGTTTTATAGGGGTGCTAAATTATATCCCTATAATGGTGGGGGAACTACTTCCATCACCGAATGCCAGCTTTATCTCTTTCTTTTCCCTTTCCCCAGCCTCAAAAGAAACATCTGACAAGCCACTCAATCCTATAAACGGTAAGAGTCCCCTGTATGTCCCATGTTTGTGATATTAAATAAATGTGTGTGGGCAACACGGATTATAAGGGTCTTTGTCAAGTAAGGGAATTTCGTTGCTTTGAATCTCTGAAAGGAAGCGTGAATCTCTGTTCAAAGCAGTCCATTCCATTTTAGCGTGCTCTAAAGATTAAAAATGTGTCTTTACATTAAACCTACATCTGCCTGGGTCAGATTTCCTAGTCTTAATCTTGCCCTCTGGAGCTAACCTGTCCATTTTATCTCTTTTCAGAGGACATTTTCCCCAAATGCGACTGTAGTTATCAGACTTTTTTTAAGTCTTCTCTGCACAGTTCCTACAAGCTTTCCTTCCATGACACAGATCCTGGAACCCTCCTGACCCTGAGCAGCATTCTCAAAGTGTGTAACTGTCAGGATGCCCTCACAGGAGAATGCATTTAAATATTGTCTTAGGGTAGTTTCCTGGGTAGCAAGCTGGGCTCAAAGCCTGGTGCACATAGCTGACTGGGGAGGCAAGCCCAGGAAGCTCAAGTTAAGAAGATTGGCCTCCATTCTCTTGAAGGGAGTAAAGCCACAAAGGATGAGTTAATGGGCACTGGGGCTTCTTTGCACCGGTGACCTCTGAGAAAAACCACATGATACACACCCAGAATCATTTCACCTGGTGTTGAGGAGGCTGAGGTGTGTGTCTGCTGCCACTCACCCCTCCACGGGTAGAGGGCTGCAGCAGGGAGCATCGGTGCCCGGCACTTCCTCTTTGTGCCTTGGTGCAGAATCAGCATAGAGGTGCCGGGAAAATGCACAGGTGATGAAAGAAACACAGAGAGATGCAGGCTTTTGAGGTAGACAGATGCGTGTCTGCTGGAAACCACCTCTGTCGGCCTCAGGGAATTAACAGTGGGCTGAGGGGAAACGGGGCACGACATGGGGCAGGGTTGCTCCCCATGCCAAGCTGGCAATATAAATATCTGACTCTGGTCAGGTAGAGAGCCATGGGAATACTGAGCCTGTGGACCTGCCCAGATAACAAAAATGCCTGAAAGCATTAGAGCTTTAAAAAATGCATACTAGAAATAGTTTAGAGGCTTTGCTGACCAAACAAAATATGTTGACTGGGTTGCGGTGTTGGCCAGCCTGTAACCCTTGCAACAATGAGCATGCGGGACTCAGGACGGTGACAAATTTGAACACATATCTTGCCTGGAAGAGGCAGCCATTCCTCACCTCTAGCCAGTCATTACCAGTTAACAATCTGGGCTGAACACTGTTCGATCTTTGGATTCTCTCCTTGAGAATCCAGAGATTCAGATTTTATGGGGAATATCTTGATTTTTAAACACTGTATAAGCTGCGTTTGTTTGGGCCCCATGAAGTACAGCTGGAGGTTTCCATCTCCCCTACACATAGTCTCTGCTCCAATAGGAGCAGTGAAATCAGCACAGGGACTCTGAGAACCCAGGATCTCAGAAGTATATAAAGGGGCTCATTTGTCCATTTCTGGACAAACTGGTTTTGCTAATGCAAGCTTATTCCATAGAAACCAAGGTTCTTCTAGAGCTGAAAACAAACAAACAAAAGAAACAAATAGACAAAAGAAAATGATTATGGATATGCAATGAGAGCAGAAGTTGAGCCTGTCTCTATCATGAGATAAACTTCATTTTTATTGATCTGAACAGTTCTTTGGGATGGAGGGCTTGGGGGTCAGGGGGGCCTAAAATAAGTAAGCCATTTCCCCCCTTGTTACTATAACCTAGGTTAAAGCAGCATTACTTTGCATGGGGAGAATTTAAGGTAGAGCTTTGATCTCTTCTCTATTTAAGTGAAGTAATGCATTTTCCTGACCTCAAAAAAGTAGTCTTAATTAGGGGCCTTGAATGAAATAATTGACCTTGACATTGCTTCAGCTCAGGGCACAAAGCTGTTACCAAATGACTTATCAAGAAATAAAACATGCTGCAATAAGGACTATTTATTTAGTAATTCTACATTTTGAATGTTAAGCTCCCAGAATGCTTACACCATCAGGACAAATACTAGCTTTTCAGTGACCAAAAAGGAGAAGACATTGTATGAGAATGAAATCTGTGCTGAGATTATGAACTGGTAAAGGAAATCATCTTTGTTTAAACACTAATATTGTTACTATTCTGTACATCATTTGCATCTTAACATAATTATTTGATTGTGAAATATCTCTTCTGTGTGTTGCAGGGTATCTTTCTGAGCATTGGCACTGAGATTGGAAACAGAAAATTGCAGAAAAAGCACTGGATTTAAAAGCAAGTGATTTCATTCTTGGTCCTTACTATGTTGTTGTCCAATGTGACCTTGGAGAATTTTTTTATGATCATCTTTACATTCCTTAAAACTTTATTATCTTATAAGGTTGATACAATTGTTACCTTACTTCTTAATGTGACCTTTATTTGTCCTACTTTTTACCTAAAAATCAAACTGTGATCAATTCTTCTTACCAAGGAAAACTCTGGGCAAAATGTAACGATGATAAAATAATGTCTTTGGAGTTCCAAAGACCTTCTTTCTGGTTCCTTTTTCTCTCGCATGACTACTTCCTCCCTCTGCATCTCTTCACTCACACCCACGAAACACTTTGTCATACCAGTAAATTCTTACTCTCACCAAACGACGTTCTCACGCAAGATCTCCAATCAGCCATTTAGCCCGTAGTGAGAAAGAACTAACTGGTTGCCGCCCCTTGTTGCATTTGCACTTATATCTGGTTGCAGAGTTAAGATCTGACTCTCCTATTTTGGAATTCAAGAAACACGTATCCAAGTGGGAGAGATTTTAGGGTGCTAGTAAAGAATGATTTCTACTCTCCCTCCAGACTTTTAAAAGGAAATGGGTATATAACACAGTATGGAAATCTGAGCCTCCATCTAGTACAGGTTATGAGGCAGACTGTGTAAGGGCCAGGAAAGGAGCTCAGATCGTCTGTGCATGTCAAACTCCAGACAGCAGACATGTATTAGGTGACTACCTACTCGGCAAGGTGCTGGGGCACAGAGCTGAATGCAACAGTATCCACCCATTAGGAATCCGCAGGCCAGTGGTAGAGATGCTTGAAAGCATAGATTTGCAGGACAGTGCAATGCTTAGACTGGTAGGCCCCGGTAGAGCCCGGTGAGGTGGTGTTGGCACAAACCAACAGATCCCATAGTACCTTTCAACCCTTCTCAGATGGTTTCTGTCCAAATATCCAATCAGAGCAGGTAGCTTTGGCTTTCCTCTCGTCTGCTTTCCCTTTCACCTCTCAGTCTCTTGTCCTGTTTCTGGTATCCTGTTTCCCCAACACCTAGAGTGTAGTCTTTATCTCCAGTTTGGACCTGAAAGTCATTACCGGCTCTTCATATCCCTCAGACACCTCAAGGCATTCTCCGGCTGCTTATTTAGTCCCAGGTTTCTTTGGGTTTCCCTGACATGGTGCCTCTTGCCCTGATAATAAAAAGGGGGGAGAATACTCTGAGAAGCCAGAAGAAAAAATATTTAATAGAAGTAAAAAAGACTTAATAGCATCTTCCTCAAGGATGTACATTTTGTCTGGTCTTAAAGGGTGAGTTGGAGTTGGGAGGAAAGGGGAGGAAGACAGACTGCTTAAAAGCAGGAAGGCGAGACAGGCTTGGTGCACTTGGAGAATAACAAAGATCTGGGAAGGAGTCATTTCTGCAGCTCCCTGATCTGTCACTGGTGTCTGTTTCATAGACAGGAGTAGTGATGCCTGGTCAAAAAGTACAGACTTTATCTCCTAAGGCTCCTCGGTCTCCACTCCATTATATACACATGGCCGTGGCAGAAGGAAATTGCCTTACAAAAGAAAATTTCAGAAAGAACCTTGCTATGGGGGCTAATTTCATATCATTGATTCTAATAGTTATTGGTAGAAATAACCGTATAACTATCTGCCCCCAAACCTTTCTGTTCTACCCAACACAAGTGTGCGCGCATGCGCACGGGCACACGCGCATGCGCGTGCACGCACACACACGCACGCACGCACGCACCCTCAACCAATCCTTCCAGCCTTCCACTCCCTCGCCTCTTCTTTTGCGTTTGGTCCTGAGATTTTTCTGTTAACAATAGGTGGGGCCCATCCCCCTGGTTTTAACTTCTTCCCACCAGGAGGTAGAGATTTATCTTGACAAACCGTTTGGAATTGCTGGGGGAAATAAGAATAAAATTTGAACACACGTCCTACAGCAGTGAAGAGAATACCTGAGAAGTTTGAAAGCTTTCGTGGGAGATTAGAGGCGGCCGTGAGGAAATGTGCTACCGGTGGTGAGCTCCCAGCACAGATATTTCACTATCCAGGGATCTCTAATTACTAATACAGTACATGAACAGTATGATATGTCCTTACAATTGCAGACGCCTTTTCAAAGATAATCTTTAATAGTTTATTTGACAACCTGTAAAATTATAGAAAATTATTAGTCTTGGGAATTACAAAAATCCCTGTAGTACAGTCAAACAATAAAATTATAATTACCTGTGGGTAATTGAAATTTAACTGTTTTTTTATTGTATATTACACATCAATAGCAACATAAGTTCAAGAGGTTTTTTTCTTCTTTCCTTTTTTCTTACAGAACCTGAGAAAATGGACAGCACTGTTGGGGGCTTGTGAGTTCCTGTCACAGTACTGAGCTTGAACAATTTCGATTAAAGCCCCATGTTTGAGACTGTCATTAGACCTGCATTAAATTACATATCTGGAGTGTTAAAAAATAAAGAGTACAGTAGCTTTTTCTCAGCTACCTAAGGTAGGTAGTTAAGGCCTTGATTATCTTTAAAGATCTATTTTTTCCCTCCACTGAAAGTCATTGTTTCTTTCATTAAACATAAAACACATTTAAGAACACTAAACTGTGCAGACAGGAATATTAGGATGGCATATTCCAAAGTACCTTTGTTCTGTATTCATTGCTCTGGCTTGACTTCTGCATTGTATAATGTGATTTTATTATTTAGCCCTCATTCAGGTGAACTGAACAGAATTGGCACTGCTCGGGACCTCTAATCCCCTGGGCTTTGGATAAAGTGGGGCCTTGACTTCCTGCTCCTCTTCCTCATTCCGCTTCTCCTTCCAACACCCCCCAAAAAAAAATTTAAAGAAAGCCACATAAGCATTTTCATACTGAAGCAAGATGCTAGCATTTCTGTTACTCATCACTTCTCTTTGAAATGATGGCCTTTATCGGAACCTGTCCAGGCCCCACCCTTCTGGGTTCTTTGTTCAAAGAAGGCTCTTGATTCTTTGGTTCCTCCTAGCTGAATAGGAGTGCAACTGAATGGAAAGAAAGTAATGGACCTGTGCAGGGAGGAAAAGGCCATAGGTAAAAGGGTTGATTCCTTTGCAGAATTGTCTTCACCCGTTGCCCCTCCTCCCAGCTCCATCCTCCTGCCTCTGCACCAGAGTCCTTCCATTTTCTGTCTGTAAACATCAGCGCTGCTACAAGGCCCATGTGGAGCCATGGGCCCTCAGGGTAGTCCTTTGAAGCTTTTATACAGAAGTAGCAGCTTCAGGCCAAGTGGTCTGACCCAATTCCTTCTATATGGTTTGGAGAGTAATGGGAACGTAAATCTGCTTTTATTTCGAGAGGCACTGATTTTCACCTCTTTATCTGGATAGAAGGAAACAGGGTCAAATTATGTAGAAGGTTCCAGACTGATATTGGAAATTAGCCAGTAGGCTAGTGCCATCCTTTCTTCTGTAAAGGGACTGAGGGGTCCAATGTGGGAGAACAAGGGGCTCAGATCTTCCATGGTCACCACTGGGGGCGTTCATGACACATGAGCTAGAGGAAGGAGGGGTTACTTCATCCATACCTTTGTTTTAATTATATTAAGTGAACCAAGACACAGAGGATAAAAGAAAATTAAGTTCAGAAACAGCAACCCCAGCTCATTTCTTCTCATGTCCTTCATTCATTCACTTAGAATTCACATAGATGATGGGAGACAGAGCACACGCATGCGCACACACACATGCCTCTAATCTTTTAGACAGGATGTCATCAAGATTTCCCATTGGGTAGCTGAAGTCATAACTTCATCAATCTTAAGTAAGAACCAGTATTGAAAAGCAAACATACACAAAGCATTTCTTTTTGGAAAAGGGAGTCTTAGAATCTGCTTTATATAATGATTTAATGAGGGTCCTGAAAACATAAAATCTTATTTTCTACCCAAAGCTAGGTTAGAAAATATGTATACCATCCTGAGCATTAAATCCATGTTGCAAAGTGATGAAAAGCTGACATATGACCCTCAAGTAGAGGAAGGTTCAAGGTGGATAATGTCCCTCTGCAGACTGGGGTAAACTCAGCAGTTTGGAGCCCTATGGATTCATGACTTTGTAAATGTCAATTCGATGCTGTCTTTTTAAATCAGGAACCAACTAACATCTGGTGTACTCGTTTACCTTCTTTCTTTTCCTACTGGAGTGGAAGCTCCATGAGGAGTGGCACTCTGTCACCCTCATCAGTGTCATGGTCACAGCCATCCACTGTTCTCACACTTGAAATAAACTCCAGCCCCACATGTGTGGCCCCTGCCTGCCTCTCTGACCTTGTCACCCTCTACTCTTCCCCTCACTCCCCTCCAGCCAGTAGGCCCCTTGCTATTCATGAATGTACCAGCTTCTGCCCACTTTGCTTTTTTAAAATTTTCAGTCTTCTCACCTTCCCAAACAGACAGGTCTTCCTGACTACCGCTTGAAAACTTGCATCTTTCCAAACCTGGCATTCGGCTTCCCCTTAGTCTTGTTTCTCTTCATAGTACATATCATTGTCTAAAGAGTTTTAGCAGTGACAATAACTCAGTAATATTCATTGAATGGGTAGAATTTTAGCAAGTGAAGAACATCCCAGGGTGGGAATGGGTATGGACATCAAAGTGATCCCAAGTTACACACCAGGGTTCTTAGGGCCATTAACAGAAACAGGGACAGCAGGAGGGGTTTGTATAGAAAGAAATAGCTAATCGCCGATGAATTGTTTTGATTTGTATATCAAAATTTGTCATTTCTTATTTGTAAAATGGAACTAGGTGATCTACACAGAGTATAGGACTCTACGTTGGTTCCAACAGTTCAGTATTACGTTGGAGAGATAAATGTAGAAACTATCAAATCCATAATAAGGTAAAACCTGGTTTCCACCAATTTAATCTCTATTAAAAGCCTCATAAACCACATTTTGGTAAAAGGGACTAATATCCATCTCACAGTTATGCCCAGCTTCTAACTCAATTGGCATATGTTTCTTCATATTCCTCTTTAAAAAGTCAATGGTTTATGAAATTATCCAAATACCTGAATCCTTCCCTAACCAGAAAAAGTCACTAAATGCAAAAGAATTTAAATTGCACACAGTCCATAATCCCCTCAGGCTTCCCCCCTCCCAAGTGCAAGCTTTAGTTTCAAGAAAAGAAACACATGTAAAAGCCCAGTAAATTTTGGGTAGGTGGCTCTATGATTTTGACTCAATGCCCTGATTTTCACCCAAGCTGCTGAAAGGTACAGCTTAAAAATAGCCAACTGCTATTTTTCCACCCTGTCGAATGACTTCCTCAGTTCCTCTTTCTACTTCAGGAGGAGTGAAGGTGAAGGTGGAAATCTTTTCCTCAGCAGAGTCTCACTCAGCAGAAACCCCCATTTGTGGAGTCTTATGAGAGGAAGGCCCTATGGAGTCCTGGGAAGGGTGGTGGGGGGCGTACCTCTAAGATAATGTTCTAAAAAGGCATTTGTTTCCTAAAAACACTTCAGAATGCTGAATATGCTCAAGACACAGGCCTCAAAGCTATATGGTGGTCTGTATCTCTCAGTGTAGATAGTGTCTTTTGCTCAATTCAGCTGAAGGCTCTCGGGTTGAATCTTATCTTCTGGAAGATTTGAAAGATGTGGAAAGCAAAACAAAGTTCCAACCTCGGGCTTTCTGAAAGAGTCTCATCTCTTGCTGTCAACTTTAAAATGGCTGTCATCTTCCGGCAACCCCAGGCCATTTGCCAACCTGTACAAGGGCTTCGCAATATGTATCATGTAGAGGTCAATGTCGTTCCCTCAGTATCCACATCCTATGGGTAGCAAATTCCTTTAGATTCAAGTTTATGAAGGGAATGGATTTCTCTCAAGTCTGAAGGGGACCTCACCCTGTTTCATTAACTTGTTAAGCCTTCCAGACTAAAACCAGAGGCCTGGTTGACAGTCTCTTCACATCCCTTCCAACTCTGGAAGTCCAGGTTTTTGCTCAGGCCCAGATAATTCTTGTAGTGAAAAAGTGAAACTTCTGTTCTAGCTAATTCAGTCTTCGGCACATTTGCTACTGTTTTTTAGAAGCCAGAGGCGATTTACAAGGGAACTTGCAAAGCCATTTTGCCTGAACAAATTCTCCATCTGGTGATTCACTGAACATTATCTCTTATTTCTTAAAGGAAGAAACAAGGAATAGGAATGGACTTAGAAGGCCTCATGTTGATATTTACCTGCCAAGACATCTTAACTCGGCTGACTCTCCAGACAGACCCATTTGTAAATTTACATTTAAAAATAATCCTTCAGGATAATTTCCCACTATCCTTTTGCTTCAGCTTAGGTCAGTGAAGCTGCAAGTTGAAGCCCTGTCCACAAATAAATATTGGAATAACTGAACTCCAGGGAGATTTTCGTAAGAAAACAAAAAACAAAAAAAAAAAAAACACGACTTTTTTTTTTTTTAATTTCATGAGGCCCACAAGTGAGTCTGAGTGTTTTTTAGTCAGTTGTTTGGTGATGCCTAGGAGCATTGCTGCTGCCAAGGCATCTCACCTTGCCTTGTATGGAAAACGGAACGACATGTGGAGATTGTTATTATGCAAAGGGAAAAAAACAGGGTCTGTTCCAATGAAGGAGTGACTGTGAACTCACACAGGCTCTGCTCTTTCTTCTGGGATGCTCTCAATTCCCCAAACCACCTCCCCTACCCCTCCACCCACCACTCCCCAACCCAACTCCAGTCTTTGGCCTTCTCTTCCTCCTCATTGCTGGGACATTTAAGAACAATCCTTGGTGGTCTACTGGTCTTCCTGCAAATTTTACTAGGACCCTCTTGATCTCTGTGTCTTCTGATTTCCTAAAGCCAAGTATGCCTTCCCATTTGAGACCAGCTTTTTCTCATCAATTGCATCCCTTCTTCTGCCCTTTCCACCTCTAGGGGTAATATCTCCCCATCAAGTTGGTTTGCTTTCTAGCCAGTGTGTGCCTAGGACAAGAGACTGCTCTCGGCTGCTTCCCAAAGGCCACATACTGCTTCTCATTCAGCTCATTTTCTTTGTGTTTCTGTGACCCTCTTCGCTATTTGACTTTGAATCATGCCTTCTTTTTATAGTTCTCTACCTTTAACACCAGAGGACAGAATCTGGGCCAGATATGTGTAGAAAGAGGGCTAGGAAAAAGAGAAGAGGAACAGACTGGGCCAAGAAGGGGTAAGGGGTTCACAGGACACAGGGAAATGGAAACACTGTACATAATCTTATACAAGGGAACAAACCAAGACAGGCACTCATTCACTCACAAATGTATACGCATTCATTCATCAACTCATCACTTGTCTGTAGCAAGTACTATACCTCTGAGTTGTCTCTTTTACAAAATTGCTCAAGATTATTTCTTCTCTCTGTGCAGGAATTTTAGATTAACATAGCCATCCTCCAACACAAATATGGAATGACCATTCTTTAAGCCAGAGATGCTTGTCTCTCTTTTATTCAGTGTCAGGCAAAACACAAGGCCCTGATCTGTGGTACAGCATGATGAAATTGAAGCTTTTGCCCCAGCTCTCATAGAGCATTTGTCCAGTCATTTAGTCATTCAGTCAGTCGACCATTTAGCTGATATTTACTGAGCAAGACCTAGTCCATGTCAATTATTGTTCTTGCACTCAGAAAGTGGCAGTGAATAAAACAGTCTCTGGTCTCATGCAAGTTACTTATTAGAGTAGTAGGTTGAAAGGAGACATACATATCCTTTCAGGTGTTGATGAATTCTGTGAAGAAAGATCAGGTGGGTAAAGGAATAGAAAATCGTGAGGAGAGAAGTTGCATCATTAAGTAGAGTGGCAGGAAAAGTCTCCACCAATATAAGTTGTAATTTAAATGGATAAAATGTGGGAATAAGCCATATGGATTTCTAGAAGAGAACCTTAGATAATGGGAGCAGGAAATCAATAATCCTCAAGTAGAAGAGTGCTTGGTATTTTCAGAAAATAGCAGAAGGTGGAGTAACCTAGTGGGTCCATCTCTTAACGAGCATCCAGACACCTTGCATTTTTCCGAAAAATAGTATCTACTTCATTATGATCACCTGTTTAGTGCTTATCTTTTCCCTCTAGGCTACATATGACATGAAGCAGGAAATCAACTGCTTGGATTACCCCCACATTCTAGTGCTTGCTCAGTATCTGGTACATCAGAGGTGTACCATAAATAGTAATCAAACGAATGAGTGGATGTCTGAATAAATTGCCCTATAAAGTGAGATAATGCACATAAATCTTTTAGCTCTGTAGCAGACATACTACACATTTAATGTATTTCAGGGACAATATGTTGCTGCTGATGCAGGTGATGATGATACAACCCAGCAGAAGATGAACTTCTTCCCAAAGATGGAGAGACTACTCCCAGTCTATGGTAAGCCTATGCAACAAGAAGGTCTCTTTAACTGCCTCTTGCCAAAATACATCCGTTTGGTGTGTACTCTGTGATAGCTGTGGCAGCGGCCAATGCATCTGTAATGACATACATGTATAACAACATCCAACTATACAGTCAATAACAAGAAGGAGGAACTATTCAGGTCTTACTTTGCTATGGCCTGCCAAACAAGGAGGAAGGTCTTCAGAGAGCAGACAGTTAAAGGATGTAAAATGAAGAATGTCATCCAGGTAAGGGATTATTTATGGTACGTAAATAGCTACTTGAAGTAAGTTCCACATTACGGGCCCACATACAGAATTAGCAGATGTTGTTCCGAAGATCCATCCTTCACAGTTTTTGAAGCAATCACATACAACAGAGGAAGTCTCAGTTTGAAATAAGGGACACCGAGGGAAGGTGACATCATCATAGAGCCTGAAACATTCTGGGGCTGACAGAAAACAAATCAACTAGTGTTGATTAAACTGCAGATATACAGGATATTAGAGCTGATAAGTGTTGTAGAGGTTATTTCACAAAGCACCTTATTTATTTCACAGATAAGGGAACCCCTGTTTTTGGCTGAAACATCTCTCCTCAACTTTTGTCATCAGTGACAGAGCTAAGAGTTGAAGCTAGATCTTCTGTAGCAGAAGTAGGTGTTTTTTCAATTAATCTCCTTAACTGGTCTCCCTGCTTACCTTCCTGCTCTTCTATAATCTATTCTATACCTAATATCACAGGGATCTTTTACCCTTCAACCCTTGAACTCTGATCATTTTTCTATGCCTAATAAACTCTCCAGTGGTTTGTCATTACAATTACAATTAAAATTCCTTATAATGGCTTATACTACTTCTCTAGCATATAATGTTGCCTGGCATGTAGTAGGCGCTAACAAATGAATGAACTTCTTTTTTCTCCAAATAATACAATAAAGTTGGCCAACCATAATAAATCTGCAGAAACACTTGATTTAAATAAAATGTCCAGTAGTATTTCCTCTAAAATTAATGTCAGGATGAAATTCAAGCTGAGTAAAAGTGGGTTAACTGAAGTCAGCAATCAGCCCCAAATGATTTATTTTAGTCTCCATTTGCCAGTGGACAGCCACTCATTCCCTCTCTGGCCCAGCCTCATTAGGCCTGTTTACCAGTGATTTTGATGACAATATGGAAAGGAAATTTATGAAATCTGAAAGGCACGGAGTTGGAAAGGATAATAAATACAACAATCAACATTCAAAAATGTCCTGACAGGCTGGAATTCTGAGCAAATTCCAATAAGATGAAATTTAATAGCAATAAATGCAATGTCCTGTATAAAAGTTCAAATATTAATTGTACAAGTACAGGATGGAGAAACTTGGTTTGGCAGGAATTCATGTAAAAAAGATCTGGAGGATTTAGCCGACCACAACTTTAATAAGACCCATCAGTCTAAGGCAGATGCCTTTAAAAAGTCCCATTCGTAGGTTGCATTAGTAGAAGCCCTTTTTCTAAATTACAACCAGTAATCATTTTCCTACACTCTGTAGCTCAGACCACATCCGGCATATTTTGTTCAGTTCTGGGTGCCATATTTTAATGGGGACACTTAATCCAGAGGAAGGAAACCAAGATGGAGAAAGTCTGAACACCAGGTCATGGTTGAAAGAATTGAAATCCAAAATCACGCCAGTATTTTTTCTATACGACATTAGGAGAGCTTCATTTTTGCTGTTCTGGAAATCAGAATATGAAACAATGGCTCTAAGTGGGTAGTAAATATACCGTTACTGACAGAAAATTTTGAATGAGTGAATAAGTAACGTAAAGGAGGAAGGAAAATTTCGTTAAACATAGAGGAAAATTATATGTACCCGGAGTTTCACAATAAAATTGCCACCTGCAAGATGGAATACATAAACTTTTGCCACTAGAGATTTTCAGGATGATACAGGAGCGAACAACTAGACCTCGAAAGATAAAAACATTGAGTGATTACACAGTCTCTGCATCCAGGACATCCAAACTAAGCAGTTTCTTCCCCCGCTCGGTTAAGTGTCCAGAGCGGTCAACTTAAGAGTCCCTTTCAGTTCCATAGTCCATAGTTCTCTGTGTACGGAACTAGCTGCCTTAAAATTGAAATCATTTCCCAAGAAACTTGACTTACCATCTCCAAATAAAAAGATGCCATTCTGGAGCCTGCAGAAAAGAAAAAGAAAACTTTGTCTCTTTTGGCAATGATATATAAAACTTAGCAACCCAAATAAAGAAACAGTTCCTAACCAGCTATCCCTGCCAGGACTCAGCACAGAAGTCATCTCCCAGTCTTTCCTGAAAGAAGCCTCTTTGCTTACGTTAGAAGCTGCTACCTGAGGGTCAGGCTTCTAATTTTGCAGACATCTAGGGGCCAATTGCTGTCCTCCCCGGAGGCCAAGGAAGCCTAGGGACACCCAACCCTCACCTCTCCCTCTAGCCTGTTCTGTAATTATATTTGTCCATTTAGAGCTATAAAACTGTTTTTATTGCAATGACTTTAAAGTCCTAATATCTAGTGGACAAGTTCCCAGTTTTGACTTTTCTTTTTCAAAGTTATTCATTTTTATATTTGATTTTATAGTATTTGTCAAATTTCTTTTTAAAAATCCAGCTGATACTTTGATAAGGATTGTTTTGAAATTACAGGATAATTTGACCAGAATTAGTAATTTATAAAGTTAGGCCATTTCACCAATGATGATGGGCTATCCTTAAGTAGGTTCTTTCATGTTATTAAATTTACTTTTAAAATTCTCTCCAAAGAGTTCTGGTGTATTCTTTGCCAATTTAATATCCAGATAATTAATAGGTTTAATGTGGGTTTGTTTTTTTTTTTGCCTTGTCAATGGAATCTTATTTTTTCTCAGATTTGTCTCTAATTAATTTTTATATCGTCAAGGAATGGTATTAGTTTTGTGGGAAATTATCTTCTGTTGGACAATCTGGTTGAATTTTCCCTTTAGTTTTAATAATCTGTTTTATTTTTAATACTCTAGGAAGAATAATGAAGTTTTGGCTTTTCTCCTAATCTTATACCTCATAGTTCTTTTATTGTCTATGGAGTTGCTAATGACCCACAGTTCTATATTATACAATAGATAATGGGAATACCTTTTTCTCCCTAACCTTAAAGTGAATCCATTTAAATCTTTTCCTTTAAATATGTTTCCTGTTGAATTCTATTATTTAAAATCTTGTGATATTTCTCCTTCTATAGGTGTAATTGAATAATAGATGATATTGAGCTATCCTTGAATTCTTTTAATAAACTATTAATCACTTTATTTTTAATCCACTATTAGATAAAGTTAATCTGCTATTAGTAATTTATTAGTATTAAATTGATTAGCATTTTGTAATTTCTTACCTATGTATACAAGTCAAGTAGAGTATATCTTTTGTAATGATCTTACTTGATTCTTTAAATTAAGATTTCTAATTTTATGAGTTGTTTAGATTTCTCTTTTTTCCTGTCCTCTGAAATAGCATTTTAAAAGGAAAATAATGTATTTCTTGAAAGTAGTTCTACAGAACAACTAAATATGGTTACTCCAAAATTATAAATATCTGCTCAATAAAATATACCACAGAGTGAAGTAATAGTTTAAAGATAAAGAAGATACTGTAAAATGGAACAAATATTTTGACTATTTAAAGGACTTATGCAAATTGATGATAAAAAAGATCTCCCAATTGTGAAATAAAGGAATGAATATGAACACACAATTTTCAGAAGGGTAAAAGTGAATGGTAGCAACTAAAGGATAAGATGTTCAAATTCATGAATAATTAGACAATTAAAAGTCAAAATAAGAAAGATATATCTCTTCATACCCATGAGATTAACAAAACTTAGAGGAGTTGGAGATAAAAAGGCTTCTTGTACTCTTGAGTGGTGAAACTGTTGTAATGTCCCAGAGATACATTCAGCAGTGTTTGTCACACAGTATTTACAGGCCTATGATCCAGCAATACAACACAGTGAAATTCCATCCTGGGACACATTCTGTGATGCTTTTTCTAGATTTATGTATCGTAGTGTAAAATGGAACACTAGTTATATATCAAGGAGGTAGATGTGCAAAATGTAGTAGATTCATGTGGAATTCTATGCAGCAGTTAGAAACAGCTATATGGAAAGATACACAGGAACATGGATAAATCTCTAAAGCACACAGATGAAGGAAAATTGTAAGTAAAATTGAGGCTATAGCACAATGTCGCCCATGTAATAAAAAAAATACCCACACACAAAATACCATATATACTTTCAATGTTAAATTCAATTTCAAGCATATATGTTAATTATTTTGGAGTGGTGGTTATGAGAGTAAGAAAAATGGGAATGGTGAATGAGAGTAAAAATGAATACATATTTCATCTACATTCTTACATACATATATAGACACATGCATTTGTAAAACAAGAAGGAGCCCTGTATCAACTTACAAGAGAGTGCCATGAACCAAGAAATATGATTGGTCAAACCTTCTGCACTAGAGATAAAACAAAATAAGAACTACAAAAGTGTCTCTTAGAACTCAAGAGACTTCAGGAAATGGAAAATTGTCAGAATTTCAGGAGTGACTGTCCCCTCACCCACATGTCTCTGTCTCTGGGCTTTAGCCTTGCTCTTCTCTCTCAATAGACCCACTGCTTTTCTTTTTAGCAGACATGGCAAGATTTCCATTTTTTTGTATCTCCCACATATTTATATCATTTCCCTTCAAAAGACCAGCCTAGGTTGACTTTTAGGGGAAAAAAATGTAATTCACAAGTAAGAATCAATGAATACGGTAGATAACACGTATTTGTTATTATAAAACATTATAAAACAGCATCTACTGCATTTCTTTTATGAGAAATATATTGACACTTTCCAAAGAGAATTCCAATTATCAACTTAATCAAATATATCTATAAACTCCTGAAAGCTTTTGAAAATCATATTTCTTTAGTTGTGAAAATTTTGTACTTCATTTCTTCTTTCCTTCCTCCATTACTTTCTTCCTTCCATATTTTATTGCTTTTTTTCCTTTCATCATTTGCTCCCTCTTTTCTCTTTTATCTTCTCTTTCTTCTCTTCCTCCTTTTTCACTTCCTTCTCTTCCTCTATATCTGTCTCTGTATCTCCAGCTTTATGTATATCTCTCTTCTCCTTCTCATCCTCTCTTTTGTTCATAATTCCAACATCAAAAAATTCAGAAAAGTGGTTGCCTTATGGATCACATAGTCTGCTAATTGACTTTTAGGGAAAGGGAGTTTTCAAAATAATTTTCTTTAGAAACATGACAGTATTTTCACTGTTTTCATGAAGCTTTTATGTAAGCTTTCCTTTGAATACAGCACTACTAAGTTTGATAGATTTGGTTCTGTCTTCTGAAAATTTACAACATATCCTGAAATCTAGAAATCCACATCTCAGTTGACCAAAGAAAACTCATCCAATATTTCTCAACCAGTGGTTCTTGCCCTCCTGATTTGAAATAAAAGTTTTGAGCGAGGCATGATATTCAAGTAGAGACGTGGGCAGCAAGGTTGCCACAATGCTTATCATTTCACTGCCCTCCTCAGTGATGAAATGAACAGAGATACTAGGGTTGGAAACGTGATGCTTCCTGGCTCTTCGTTG